GAGGCAGAGGCAGAGGCAGAGGCAGAGGCAGAGGCAGAGGCAGAGGCAGAGGCAGAGGCAGAGGCAGAGGCAGAGGCAGGCAGATCTCTGTGAGTTTGAGGCCAGCCTGTCTATGTAGCCAGTTCTAGGATGGTCAGGGTTCACAAAGAAACCCTGTTTCAAAAATTTTTTTATTTTATTTTAAAATTTAGGGTCTGGAGAGATGGCTTAGGGGCTAAGGAACTGGCTACTCTAGTTGCAACATGATGATGCGCAGTAAATCCAGCATTAGTGCCTCTGAGGGCACAATGTGGTGAACACACATATATGCAGACAAAACATCTCTACACGCAAATAAAAAGGTTTAAAATTGTTATTTGTATACACGTGTGTGTCTTCATGAGTTTGTATACCACATGGGTATAGGTGCCTAAGCCCAGCAGAAGAGCCCCTGGAACTGGAGATGCAGGAGGTTGTGAGTCACCTAATAAGGGTGACGGAACTGAACCTGGGTTCTTAGCAAGACCAGTACTGCTCTTAACTGCTGAGCCATCTCCCCAGCTCCTGAACTAATCAATTTGTGGCTGTTTGAGACAAGGGTCTGTCTACATAGCCCTGGCTGGCATAGAACTCACTATGGAAGCCAGGCTGGCCCTAAACTCACAGAGCTCCACCTGCCTCTGCCTCCCACTTGCTGGGATTAAAGAAGTGCACCACGGTGTCTTGCTAAAAATAGGTTAACAATCATTAAAAATATTCTTTATGGAGCACACCTGTAAATCCCAGCACTTGGGGAGGCAGAGGCAGGTAGATCTTTGTGAGTTTGAGGCCAGCCTGGTCTACAGAATAAGTTCTAGGATAACCAAGGCTACACAGAGAAATCTTGTCTCAAACAACAACAACAACAAAATCTATAAATGCTCTTAGTTCTTCTATATCTAGGCTTTCCCCTCTCCACATAGCTGAGGATAACCTTGAACTTCTGACCCTTTCTCAACCTCCTGAATACTGGGATGACAGGCATATGCTACCACACTTGTTTTCTGTGGTGCTGGAGATCAAACTCAGCCGAGCTTCATCCTCAGCCCCATTTACCTTCTGTTGAAAGAAAAGGGCTTGTGCTCAAGAGATGGCTCGGAGGTTAAGAGCTCTGGCTGCTCTTCCAAAGTCCTGAGTTCAATTCCCAGCAACAATGTGGTGGCTTATAACCATCTATAATGAGATCTGGTGCCCTCTTCGGGTGTACAGGCCTATATGCAGGCAGAATAATGTGTAAATAATAAATAAATAAACAAATCTTAAAGAAAAAAGGGCTCACCAACCAAGATGGCATGCCTTTGCAGCAGCCATCTTGAAAAGCAAGTGGACAGTGCCATAGCAGAAAAAACCAGAGGCAAGACTCAACCAGAGTGACTGAGCTCCTGTCCTGTGTCAAGAGGCAGATTTGTCTCAGCAACTGGTACATCTGAGCAAACCTGTGTGCTGGACAGTCTCTACTTCCAAGCCCAAGGTAATATGGGGCCTGGGCCAGGATTGTTGGCTGGCAAACAAAACGTGGCTTGGCACAGGGACCAAGCTTGCCTGTGGGTTGTGTGGGTTTCATTCTGGCACTACAGTTGGGCACTGAATTGCTTTAATTGGTCATGTCCAATAAAATGCTTCTTCTGGAAGGGCTGATGAGTACAAAGGTAGACATGGCACGTTAAATAGAGGAAGTATCTACAAAGACAAAGAAACAAAACCAACACCCAGAAACCAAATACTTTTGATGTAATCCACCTGCCTATCTTACTCCATATTCTCTTGGTATAACAAATTATTTTAGGCTTGTAATTGATAGAGAATAGAGGTTTTTTTGGCTCAGGGTTCTGGAGCCTAAGGATTCTATACTAAGGCCCTGGTATCTTCTGGGCATCTCCAAGGCCCTCACTCTGGACCAGAACAAACAGAGGCACCGAATAACAAGGAAGAGCAAGGCAGTCAGATGAGGCTTCTCACAAAGCCACTAGTGCCACCACAGGGGCACTTATCCCTGTTTGCTGATTGAGCATGTGATGTGACCAGCTGCTTCAGGCTCTTGCCAGGCCTTTCCTGATATGATGGGCTGTATCTTTGAGCAGAATAATCAGCCCTGAAGTTGCTTTTGTCAAGAGCTTTTTATCATTCTGTGAAGAGTACTTTATCACAGGACAGGACAAGAAACTAAGACATGAGCATACACATGTCTTGCTGGCCATAGCTGATGGATGGCACAGCCCACAACCCAAGGGCACTGTCCTTCCCACAATCCGGAGCAGATATTCTGTGGCCCCCAGCACAACAGACTTGGAAGGAAAGCATTATGGCCCCTGGGTTCAGGAGACTTGGACCAGAGCAGGGACTGGGCTGACAGGTGCTCTGTTTTGGGGCAAAGCTCCTTCCCTTTGGTGGTGGCGTCATCACCCCACCCAGGCCAGGTTATGTTTATACTCCCCTCTCCCCAAAACAAAGGACAAACTAGTTTGTGGATAGTACTTGGTTTATTCATTAGAAAAGCAAGAACAAAAACCTGATGGGTCTTATATACAAAACAAGATGCTTTTGTTTTCAAGGTTAAAAGCACTCTTTAAAAATTTTAAATGGGGACATGGATGACACAAAGCTGTTTCTCCTAGAAACACATGAACAGATATGCACACAGAATCTCTTATACACAGATCAAGATGATTTAGGACCATGATGGGGCCACAGAGCCCTGCACCATGTCACAGTCACAGCTCCAACATGGCAGACACTGTGTCCGCATTTGGGCACAGAAGTGAATTATAATTCAGACCCAGGCGCATAAAGTAGAAAATTTACTTCCACGTTAGAATGTTAAGAGTACTGACAGGATTCAGCCACAAAGTAGACCCATAGCAATCCAGTATACTGAGCTGCAGAACTCAGGGGGGACAGGCAAATAATCACAACACAGATGTGATCTCCTCACTGGGGTCCCTCACATCTTCAGCCCCCAGTTGCCATGGGTACCTCAGCACCACGGCAGTTACCACTCTGCCTAACTCCCAGGATCCCAAGCTGCTGCCTGCGCCTGTCCTCAGCACTGGCCCAGGCCTTCCTGGGCAGAAACAGGGTTGTATGAAGCCATGCAGACTGCCAGTGTTACTGTTAGGTGCACACAACTGGCCTTTGTGTCTTACAAGGCAGGAGTGGGGAGGGTTTAGCTTTACTGTTTCCAGGGCTGGGGCTTGCCATCACAAGTGGCTAAGGTCAGTTAGGGGACCAAGCCATTTCATGGCCTCACTACTCACCCATACATACATCAAAACAAACATGTGGATCACCTTTTAGAGACACGATTCAGAGAAAATCAGTAGCTCTCATATGAAGAGGTTTCTATGGATGCTAGAATCCCCCACCATCTGGATACTGGATGATCTGGGCTCCACTGAGCTGCAGCACCAGCAGCCAGATTCCCATACTAAACAGGGGATGGCTGGTTAGCTATTTGCTAGCTGTTGTGCTTCAAAGTGTTTTCTAGTTGCGGGCCTTGACTACAGAATCCAGACAGCCTGGGCCAGGGACCAGAGTTCTTCACGAAGCACCCTGTCCTACTGGCATCCTGACACACCTCAGCCATATTAGCACTTCCGAGGTGGACAGCTGCTGCCGGCCTGAATATTTGCACCAGCAAATGGCCGACAGTTTCAGCCTCTGCCTCTGTCCCTCACAGGGATGGTTAGAACCAAGTGTTTGCTCATCTACCATACATGCACGGAGACCACAGAGAATTGCAGCTAGGAACACCCTGCAAGACTGAACATTTTCAAAAAGTTTTTTTTTTCAGCATTTTAAATAATTTACAAAAAATAACAAAAACAAAAAACCAAAATCCTACAAAAAACCATATGTACCAGGACACAATCATTAAATAAGAATGTCATTTGAGATTAGTGTACATATTTATAGAGGGGCTGGACAGAAGGGACCCAGTTTTGCTCTTTAACTGTCAGGATCCCCTGTTCCCATCCCATGCTGTAAGTACACACACACACACACACACACACACACACACACGCGCAGGTATGCACATGCGCACACAGACAGGACGCGAACACTGCTTCCCACAGCTGAGAGCCACGACATGCCTGTCACAGTTTGAGGCCTTTACTGCTCACTGTGGCACTGCCCCCATCCTCCATGGAGGTATCACTGAATTCGCTGGCATCACTGCCCAAAGCCTCCTGGTCCTGGTGTTCCCTGTCAACCCTGTGCCGGTATCTCAGGTCTAGGACATTGTCCTCAGAACCGGAATTCCTCCTGTCCTGCTGTCTCAGGGGCCCCTGAGCCTTCCGGCTTGACCACTGCCCACTGTCCTTCATAAGCAAGTGTGGGCTTCCGAATACAGGGCTATGGCCAGGCTGGGGCTCCCTGAAGGCCGAGAATGCTGGACCCTGCAGAGGCAGGCCCAGGTTGGGGCTGAAGAGACCAGCCTGCTTGGCTCCCCAGGAGACACTCTTCCCAAAGTGGAAGAGCTGGGTGGAGAGGAAAGGCAGGCTCTTCCTGGGGCCTGAGGAGAGGCTGGGTGGGACCCCAGCCTGTGATGTGGCCCCTTTTTCTTTCTCACCCCGGAAGACCCCTGTCCACACTGTGCCTTGGCCCGAGTTCAGTGCCCATGGGCTGGACAGCCTGCTCTGGTGTGCAAAGTCACTCCAGGGGAGGGTAAGGTCAGCCTGGGGTCCAGGTTTGGGGGCCAACAAGTTCTGACTGCCATAGTTCAGGTGAAAGGCACCCCCTGCACTTCCAGCCTCTGTGTAACTGGGCAACTGACTGAAAACACTTTCTGCCACGGCAGTCTGGGTTCCCCGTTGGTCTTTGTGAACACTAGCACTTTTCCTGTTTGGCGGAGATGCTTTGGCACAGCTGTTCCTGCTGGTGTTCTTGGGTAGTGCTGGCTCGCTTCGGCCCAGGGCAGTGGGGAGGCGAGTGGCCTGCTCAGCACGAGGGGTGACCCTCCCAGTCTGGCTCAAGAGGTTGGCTGCAAGTGTCCGAGCTCTCTCTGGGCCTCTTCTTCCTTCGGCCAGCTGAGGGGTTCCCCTGGCTTTTTGGCTCCGTGTGCACACTCCAGGCTGCAAGCTCAGGGTTGGCTCTTTCCTGCAGGGCATCTCTGGCTTGGCAGGGACCCCTTGAGGTTCTGAACTGCGTACAGACTCCTTGGCCTTTTCTGCCAAAAACTTCCTGATCTCTAGCTCAATGCTGTCATCACTGTCCACTGAGCTGTCCTCAGACAGGGGGCCAGAGGCTGAAGGAGGGTGGCTACTGGATACTGTGTCCTTAGAGGTAGGAGTCTCTTCTGGACTTTTCCTCCTGGGAAGCAATGCAGAAGCGGCATCCTCAGCCCCCATGCCACCCAGCTTTGCCCTCTCTGCCACCCTGCCGGAGATGCTAACTGGGCTCCTTCCTGGGCTGTCTTTGCTGTCCCCTCTGCACTTGGGCAGACAGCTCCGTAGTGCATGCTGTCCTTGGTCCTTCCAGTCCCCAGGAAGGCTGCTCAGCTTCTCCCCACCCCGAGTCTCTGTGGTGCCAAATCTGACCTTCTTACATGCAGCTCGGGGCTCTCGGCATCTCTTCTTGAACTTCCGCTTAGATCTTAACAAGTCCTTGATGGCCATGTCCAGGTCCTCATCACTGTCCAGAGAACTGCTCTTATCCTCGGAGCTTTCTTTCTCAATGGCACACTTCCCCTCACTGGCCTTGCTGAGGCCTCCCTGGCCTTGCAATAGCTGTGTGTCGCTGAGCCCAACCGTCCTGGAAGTGACAGGCTGGTCCTTGGCCTCAGCCTCCCCTCCTGGAGCCTCTGTAGCTTTGCTCTGGCCGAGAGGGTCCCAGCCATCATGGCCAGGCTGAACTTTCCCCTGGATATGGTCACTGTCCCGGGCACTTTCTCTGCCTTCCCTTATTTTCTTGGGCACCATAGTATTGCCTCCGTTTCTCCGTTTCCGTTTGCAGCCCAGAGGCAGATCTGGTGTTTTAGCAAGAGAGGCCTTGGGGATGCCAGGCTGGCCACTGGGGCCAGGCGAGGACAGCGGGCCCTGGTTAGGCTGAGGACTCCCTACTTGTGCCTTGAGGGCCAAAAATGTCCGGATCTCCTGCTCTATGCTGTCATCACTGTCAATGTTGCTGCTGTCACCTTCAGAGCGGGGAGGCATGGGTGGGGGACAGAAGAGTGGGGTCATGGATGGAAGCCTGTCACTGCCTTCCACGGGGGCTGGCAGGATGGTCTTGGAAATGTCCAGGATTGCTTCCGCACACATCAGCTCAGTGGATGTGTCGGCTAGGCATGAGGCATGGTACACAGCTTCACTCTTGGCAGCTGTGTGCCCTGAAGGTACAGAGGCTCTTGTGTCCTTTATGACCTTGGAGACGGGGTCAGGGTGGAGGCCCGCCAGGTTGGTGTCCACAACCTTTGGAACTGTCAGCTTTTTCTTACTAGGGGCTCTCCTGTGGGCTTCAGGCAAGGCACTTGGCTGGGCACTGCCAGGGCTCTCCTCTTTCAGCTGGGCTCTCAGAGGTGGGTCCCCACTGGCCTCCTTCCTGGTTTTCTCTAGCTGGTATAGCTGGATGGCCTCCTCAATGCCATCATCGCTGCTGGAGTCAGATGCCTGCTGCACTGGGGCTAGGCTCCTGATCCGCTTGCTGCGCCTGGCAGGCATGCTCCTCCTCACTCCTCCCCTGTTCTGTGCAGCCTCTGGCTTGTGGGCAGTCAGCTTTGTGTTCACCAGAGTCTCAGACTCTGTGGTGACCTTTGGCCGGAAGTTTCTGGGCTGTGGGCTCATCTTCGTCAACCTGGGAGGTTTTCGGAAAATAAATTCCTTACAGGTTCCTATCAGAGCTGCCCTGGCTGAGGTCTCTTGGTTCCCTCTAAGTCTGGCAGGGCTTTCATTTGGGTCTGATTTTTTATCCACAGACCCATCACACTTTGGGTTTTCATGCTGTCTTTTCTCATTAAGAAACTGTTCTATTTCGGCTCGGATGCTCTGTTCAAAGGAGTCCTCGCTGCTCATGCTAGCTGGGGAAGTAGAGCCATGGTCCTCGCTGGCTCCCACAGGATCACTACCTGAGCCAGGCGTGAGTTGTGGGGTACACGGGATAGGCAGGGTACTGCTGTGGGCAGGCTCTGGGACACAGGGGGGACCTCGGGACATAGGCTCAGAAGCCCCACCCTTGGCCTTCAGGTACTCTTGGATGGCCTCCTCAATGTCTCGGTCCACAGAGTCATCACTGTCAGAATCCAGTTCCAAGGGACCATGTCTCCCAGCTTCATCTTTCTCCAGGGGGTTACAGTTTGCAACAAGACCACAAGCAGGGAACTCTGGCTGCTCTTTGCACACAGCAGGTTTGGGGGCCAGCCTGCTGTCCCGGCACCTCTCTGCACGTTGGCCTCTTTGTGTGACACGCTCATGGTTCATGCCCAGGGCAGCCTCGTCTCTCTGTAGTGTGCTAATGAGCATCTGTACCCTGGCACTCACTGATGCCCTGGAGGTGTCCTCTTCTTTAGACTCAGAGAAGCAGTCAGGAAAGCAGAAGTTCCTGGGCTGGCCAAAGGCCTCCCATCTGGACTGGAGCGCCACCACTGGAGGGGCGTTCATGAGGAACATCCTAGCAGGCAGGCTGGGTGCTGGGAGGCAGGGCTTAGGGGTCAGCCTGTTTCACATCCTGGGAGCAAAGAAAGCATAATGAAGGACACAGCTAATCAGTAACATCAGTAAACATCCATGTCAGGACAAGAGACAACACAGCTGGGGCTGCAGCCGAATGTCTCTTTGGCTGGGGTGGCTTATGCAAGCCTCTCAGGCCTTAGTTTTGTCAGCAGTTCTAGGAGTCACTTCCATCCTGTAGGTGGAAGACTCTGTTGAAAAAAAGTGCCAACTCCAGCAGCCCTTTCCTTTCCCCTCTAGGTTTGCACGTTTTCTATAAGAGAACAAAAGAGGTGTCATTTACCTCCCGGTGTTCTCAGAAGTCACAGCAGTCTATACATGCTTCTCTGTGCTTTAAAAAGAATGACTATCCACTTGCCCAGGTATGTTGGACTTTATGGATGGATCCTTTCCATAAATGGTCTCTATGTTTTTTCACCAAAGCTGCAACGTACGAAGGACTCAAAAACCACTTTCTCAAGCTTTTTCGGAGATGCCTTCACTATGCTGTTGTTTTGAAAATGTCAAATGTATATCTGACAGATGATTTTCATAGGCTGACATCAATGAAAGTTGTGTCAGCTTTTTGGTGGTCATATCCTAGGGGTGGGTCTGGAAAAAGGACTGTGCAAACAGACCATGGGCTTGTCGGCCCAGATGTCAAGGATGCTGTGAAGTAAAGTGACACATGCCTATGCCATCGGAGCCAGGTTTCTACAGGCCAGCCAGGCTGGTGTTAGGAACACTGCAAAGAGGGGCCTCATCCAGGAGGTGTAGGGACATTTAGAAAAATACCAGCTGCTCTGTGTAGCTCTTAATTCTTCTAGGCTTCTTTGGTCCCCTTCTGACTGCCTGAGTTTGGAGAGCACCTACAAGGCTGAAGGACAGAGACCTGAGCTCCTCCAAGGGAAGGCACAGAAGATTGTTGCCATCTCTAACCCAAGGCCGGATGGTAGGGTCTGGTCTGTTGTTTGCTTTGCTTCCATGTTCTGTCCTCTCCACCAGTTATTTCACCAGACTTTGCCTTTCTGACAGATTAGGATGCGCTGTATACATCCTGAAAATCCCTTCCCAGAGTGATGGGGCTGGCCACATAGACCAAGATCTGCTCAGAGCACAGGCAACTAACTAGAGGTCACTGCAAATGCAGTGACAACTATGGGCGATTACCAATGTGTGCTTAAAGAGTGAAACTAATATACAAAATCTACTGAAATTACTTGGAAATTCTCAGGTGTAGGCTGATGCTCTATACGGCTTTAGGGATGAGGTCTTTGCTGCTTCATTTACATGTCAAAGCATTATCCACCAGCTTTTAAAACAAAACTTTGAAGGGCTGGACATGGTGGTGCATACTTTTAATCCTAACACTTAGGAGGCAGAGTCGGGTGGATTTCTGTGACTTCCAGGCCAGCCTGGTCTACACATAGTGAATTCCTGGCTAGTCAGGGCTACAGAGTGAGACCAAATTGTCCAAATAAATAAATAAATAAATAAATAAATAAATAAATAAATAAATAAAATCAGCTTTTACTACCATGATTATAAAGAATCAGGGACACCTAGTTTAGCAACTGATGATAGCTTATAAGTATTTTTTTCTGTTATGTCAATAATGTAAAGAAAGGCTTAAAACAAATTCAGGAATGCTTGCCCTAACACCAACTACATTAATTGCAGATAAATTTGCCACTCTTCTGGGTGAGAGCCACAGGGTGAGGAGTGCTTCCCTATACTGTCTTTCAGAGCTTATATCCCGGCCACCATCTACCATAGTCCTGCTCGCTACTAACATTGCCTTCCCAAAACACCCCACAGGCACCGGGCAGCGGGGACTCATAGGGACAGTAACTTCTTTTATTGGCTAGGGGACCTACGTCTTCCCTGCTGTAGCTGTGTTCACACTGCCAGAGCAATCCCACAGAAATCACTAAACATTGGCACAACCTAACTGTGAAAGGTCTGAATCAAGTGGGGTGTGATGGCAAAAGCCAGTAATCTCAGGTGAAGGCCGGAGGATCAGGAGTCCAAGGCTAGCACTGTTACCTTATCTTCAAAGACGGGGCTGCTGAGGTGCTATCTCACCAGACCAAAGGAAACACAAGAAAAGGTGCTGGAGGGGGTGGGGAGAGTAACGATGTCCTAACAAGAGGGCAACCGTTACACCAGGCTCAGAGCTGGGGGAAAGAGGTCAGTTTATCTCCACTCACCTGTTCACAGCTTATAACGAGGGACCCAGAGCTGAGCTTCTCTGACAGTCTTAATGGTTGTTGGTCCAGCTACCTGGTCTACATCACTCTTGGGAGCTGTCATTCTGGAGAACTGCAGAAGAGTTAGAAATATGAGCTGAAGGCAGGGTTGGGGCTTTAAACTGGCAGCTCTGGGAATCATGTTTCCCGGGTGGCTGTGGGTACAATCAGCTCCCGCACGCCAGCGTGGTCTCTAAATTTAAGTTATGATGTTGAGGGCCCTGTACTCCAACTTAAAGTGGGTGTGGTTAAGATCTGGTCCTTAGGATCCAGAGGTACTGACACAATTCGGTCTCCAGAAAAGCTGCTGTGTCTGCCCTCTCCTGTGCGGGAGTGGAGGCAAGGGGAGAAAGAATGCCGCTGCTGCTCATCTCGCTGCCTGAGAGGCAGCTGGAGCAGCAGTCAGTCTGGTCTTCTGCAGAATAATGCCAACCTTTCTCCAAGCAGAGGCAGGGCCTCCAGCTGGTCTGTGGCCCCCACCCATCCAGCCCCGGAGTCATTTTCTGTGATCCTAGGCTTAGGAAATCCGGGGGCCTCGAAACTGCGCGTGGCAGGGCAAGAAGGCCAGCCTTGAAGGCCAGGCAGGCCTCGGTGACCCAGAGCCCGCCCCTCACCTGAACCTCACCTGGGCCCGACCTGCGCCCGCAGGCTCTCGAGGAACGTAGAGTGTAACAAGCGCCAGGCACCCGCGGGAGGAGTCTCCCGTGGGCTGTGACCCTCTCCCGTGGCGGCGACCAGCCCCAGCCACCGACCCGATCCGGTGCCCGCCCGCCGCGGCCTGCACGGCAAACCCAGCCCAGCTGCCCGCCCTGCGCCCCGCGCCCCGGGAGGCGCCGGGCCCGGAGCGCGGGGAAGCGCGGACACACGCGCCCCGCCCTCCCGCGGTCCGGCGCCCGTGGCCACCGCGGAGTCCCGCGGGGACCCCGGGGCCCGGCGCGCCGTGGGAGCGCGGAAGGGGAGGGCGGGGCCGGCGCGACGAGGGGCGGAGCGACCCCCCCTCAGGCCGTCCCTCCCGCCACCTACCCGCGGCGGCGGCGGCGGTGGCGGTGGCGGCCGCGCTCCGGAAGCCGTGCCCGGTGGCTGGGCATCATGGGAATGGCACGGCCGAGTTCCGGGGGAGGCGCGCGGCCCGGCCGGACCCCCGCCCGCGAGAGCGCGCCCACCTGCACCGCGAGTGCCCGCGCTCGGACACGCACAGCGCGCGGGAGGAGCGCACAGGATAGCGCGGAAGCGGCCGCGGCCGCGGCCCCCGCGGGAGTCTGCGCGGGGACCCTTCTGTCCTCCCACCCGGGACTGGCGGAGCGCCTGGAGCCGAGAGCGCGCACAGCCCAGGGGTGCTGGAGGTCGCGCGCGTTGGCAAGTTGGCCACGGCGAGGGGCGTGGCCGTGGGGAGCAGGAGGAGGGCCGCCGGACCCTCGCACATACCTTCTTAGGCTGCCTTAGGGTAGTCCACAACCAGTGCTCCTCTCTCTCTTCGTGTCTGGCATCTGCCCAGCCCTGCCCTCCACATCCTTAAACCTGCAAAGGTGTGCTTTCATGACTATAGTTTGCACCCAGCTGGAGATTGCGCTTAGCTTGTCTGCGATGGACACCGCAGGGCCTTCTGCCAGGGCCTTTGGTGTTGCCCGTGCCTTCTGGGATGCTCATTACTTTGCAGAATGCTTCATACGTCTTTGCACAATGACACCCCCACCCCCATTATCGAGATCTCAGCCCACACTTAGATAGAGACTGAGGAGGGATAAACAGACCCCCGGGGTCATGCGGGGTGACCTTGCTGCGCATTCACATCTGAGGTCTGGAGGAACAGGTGGGGTAGGATTGGCTTCTACCAACACGATTAGGGTTAGAGTAGAATTCTTTGGCTCTGTGGCCCACTCTGACCATGTGACATCGGGAATCTTTCTAGTTTTCTTTGTTTGTTTTAGACAGGTCTGGAGATACTGCATTGATGTCAGGGAGCAAGCCAGGCCCACCACGGGTCTTTGTCACACAGCCTGTTTGGTGGGGCCGATGAAATGATTAGATCTGACTGGAAAAACCCCCAGAAACTTTGTTCCAGAGAAGGCCGCATTCCCCTTCTCCCCCAACCCTTCCCTTCACCAGCTTTCTCTTGTTTTTGTTTTCTTGCTTTGAATTTGAGATAGGATCTTCTGTAGCCCAGGCTCCTCTTGGACGCCTATCCTCATGCCTCTACCTTCCTGGTACTGGGATTACATACAGTAAGTCCTGCCATGCCTAGCACCAGAAGAGAGAGTTCTAAGCTTGGGGAAAACACATAGGACATTTTAATGCTTCCAGGACTAGCATTTTTCCTTCTCTTTTTCTTTCTTTCACTTCTTTCCTTTTTCTTTTTAAAAGATTCATTTATTTTAGCCGGGTGGTGGCGGCCCACCCCTTTAAACCCAGCAATTAATTGGGAGGCAGAGGCAGGCAGATCTCTGCGTCCTGGTCTACAGAGTGAGTTCCAGGACAGAAAGGGCCACACACAGAAACCCAACAAGTCATTTATTTTATGTGTATGAGTGTTTTGCCTGCATGTATGCAAGCACAGCTCTTGCTTGCTTGGTGCTCAAGGAGTACCAGAAGAGGACATGGGATCCTCAGGAACTGGAGTTACAGGCAATTGTGAACCACCACGTGGTCCTGGGATTTGAACTCTGTTCCTCGGCAAGAGCAAGTGCATTAGCTGTTGAATCATTTCTCCATACCCACCCCTTTTCTTTCTGGCAGGGTCTCACTGTGTGACACCCCACACACACTGGGGGGAGTTGTTATGTAACCTGACTGATCTCAAATTTACAGATATCCTGTCTTCAGAGCACTGGGACTAAAGACATGCCATCTCACCTGGCTGAGTTATTGTCATTATTGAGTACTATTGCCAACATTTGGAGAGAATTATCTTGCCAGTGATGCCATCTCTTGGAGTGTGGCTGTAGGATTATTTTGTTATGCTTTCAGCATTGTGAGAAATATCTTTGGGCGTCTCCAGACTGTTGCCTAGAAGACAGCAGTCTGCTTGGCAGCGATACTGATGCTTGCCACGTGCCCTTCAAGGATGAGGACTGTCTTAGTTACTTTTCTATTGCTTTGAAGAGACATCATGACCAAGGCAACTTACAGAAGAAAGTGGGGTCCATGACCATCATGGTGGGGAACATGGCGGCAGGCAGGCAGGCTGGAGCAGTAGCTGAGAGCATACATCTGATCTGTAAGCAAGACACAAAGCAAACTGGGAATGGCATGGGCTTTTGAAATTTCAAAGTCCACCACACTTGATGACACACCTCCAATGAGGAGGCTACACCTCCCAATCCTTTCCAAACAGTTCCACCAACGAGGGCCCAAGCATTCAAACGTATGAGGGAATGGGGGCCATTCTCATTCAAACACAGCAGGAATCCATCCCACCATCTTCATGGTAGGCAGACATGCCATTCTTTACTTCCTACCTGCCTGTAATGATGCCATCCCATTGAGTTTCTGGAAATCTCATGGGTAGAATAAGCCTCTTTGTCACTTTAATTTTAGCTTCTTCAACTGTTGATGATACTGAGAATCCTTTCATTCTTTTATTGGCTTTGGAAAATTGCATGTATGGCCATTTAAAAGTTTTCTATTGCACTTGTATGCTTTTGCCTTATTGATTCTAAGAGCATTATTTATTCATTTGTGTGTGTGTGTGTGTGTGTGTGTGTGTGTGTGTGTAGATAGAAAATACAGTCTCTACTGCAATGCACACAAGCATATAACAGAGGTGGGCTGAAATCCCTGATACTAAAAACCCCTAGACTCAAGGCTGGTGAGATGGCTCAGCAGACAAGGCACTCAAAGGTCATCAAGTCTTTACCTCCCTTCCAACAACCCTAGGTAAGAGGGAGAAGGTTAGTGGGGAGATGGGGTGCAGACCTCTTTATTCTCCCTCTGTTTAGGGTTGATGGGTTCTTTTGCGGCTGCACCATCAACAGCAAGTGCAGCCAGCCGTCTCCTTCGTCTATCTTCTCCAAGACACTGAGTCATGAAGCATCTCTCCCATGTCCCTGGTCTCTCCAAACTGCCTTGCCTTCTCTTTCTGGTCTCTCATGTTTATATAGCTCAGAGTCCTGGACCACACCCCTCTCCCTGCACGAGGCGGGCCATTACCACTGGCAAAGACCACTCGCTGCAGGAGACAGTTATCAGCTGTGAACAAAGTAAAGCCCACAAAATCCCACACTTGAGATTAAAACAAAAACATATCTACATAACGTAACTGAGTTTTTAAAGAAGCCCAAACTTCCATTACATGCATGAATGATGGTACATGATGGTTTACACTAGCATTTGAGAAACTGAGGCAGGGGGGTTGCCAGTTAAAAGCCATCCTGGTCCACATAACAAAAGCCTTTCAAATAAAGAGTATTCATGCTCTCAATACTTTTTAAAAATAGATTTATTTATTTATTATTTATGCAGCATTCTCCCTTCCTGTGTGTCTGCACACCAGAAGAGGGCACCAGATCTCATTATAGATGGCTATGAGCCACAATGCGGTTGCTGGGAATTGAACTCAGGACCTTTGGAAGAACAGCCAGTGCTCTTAACCTCTGAGCCATCTCTCCAGTCCTCAATACTTTTTTCATTTTTTGAAATAAAGATGCATTATGTGTATCTGTATGCATTTTCACATGTGTGTATGTAGGTGTGGGGATCTGTGTGTGCATGTGTGTGGAGGCCAGAGGTTGACATCTGACATCTTCCTAGATTGCTCTTTGCCTTATTTACTGAGGCAGGGCCTCTCCCCGACCCCCTGGGTCTCTCTGTCTCCTGCTCCCAAGTGCTGGGAAGGGTCTCCACATCTGCTTGGCTTTGCCACGAATGCAGGGGACTCGGGTGCTAGTGTTCATGCTTGCACAGTGAACATTTCCGTAGAGACATCTCTCCAACCACCCTATTTTGTGTGCAGGAATGTACCGTGACATGCGGGTGGAGGTCAGAGGACACTTTGCAGGGATTGGCTCTCTCAGGGACTGAACTCCGGCGGTCAGGCTCAGCAGCAGGTGCTGCTACCTGTTGAGCCTCGCCTGCTGCTTTCTACCTGACAGTCATGAGGTGAGTAGCTCTGCTCTGCCATGTTGTTCCACAACAATGTTCCTCCCCATCACAGGCGTGCAGACACAGAACCAGTGGATCCTGGACCTCTGGAATGGAAATGCTACTGGTCTGTGTGTGGGCTGTGATTTGAAGAGCACCTGACATTCTCTATATTTGGTGTGTTAAAACACAACAGGAAAAAGACCCCAAACAACTACCTCAGCCATGAACACCTCTACATTAAAGCCACTTAGGTTGTGACAAAGTCACCAGTTGTTGTAGGATCTTTGATAACATTGTGAACCCCGAGATTGTGAATTGAAGAAAAAAAAAATCTGTTTCTAATTGTGGTATGGCTCAGCCTCTGATCCTAAAGCTTATTGTTTACTGTAAACAAGTATTTGTGGTGTGGTTCAGCCCTAGCACACACCTTTTATGCAAGAGCTTTCTGAAAATAGGATTAAATAAAGCTGATTCTAGGTCAAGAGGCAGAGCAAGAAACCAGATTGACAAGAAGTGAACATGGGGGGAAAAACATCATAGAGAGAAAGGAAGTCTCACAGACATATAGAGAGACGCACAGGAAGTAGAAAGGAGAGACAATGAGCTGAAAATATTTAAGATAGACAGAGAGGTTAAGAGCACTGGCTGTTTTTCCAAAGGTTCTGAGTTCAATTCCCAGCAACCACATGGTGGCTCACAACCATCTATAATGAGATATATGTCCTCTTCTGGCTTGCAGGCATATATGCAGGCAGAATATTGTATAAATACATAAATGAATCTTAAAAGAGAGAGAGAGAGAGAGAGAGAGAGAGTGGAGGAGGATAGGTTTTCTCCTTCTGGGACCTGAGCTGAGTAGGATCTGAGCTAGGCTTTTACTCCAGCATCTGGATACTGAGTCTGTAT